ACTACTATTATTACTTATTACTATCCCAATTATTATTATTGTTTATTATTATTATTATTAGTATTATTATTATTAATATTATTATTATTATTATTATTATTATTATTATTATTATGTTTACTACTATTATTATTTATTACTATCCTAATTATTATTATTGTTTATTATTATTATTATTATTATTATGCTTATCATTATAATAAAGTTTATGATGCCTCTGTTTATTATTAAGATTTCTCTTCATTAATTTTTTTTGTATTTGTTTGTTTGTTTTATATTATTTTATAGATATTGTGTTTAAAACATTACTTTTTTTTGTGTTTGTTTGTTTTATATTATTTTATAGATATTGTGTTTAAAACATTACTTTTTTTTGTATTTGTTTGTTTTATATTATTTTATAGGTCTTGGATAATTCGTCAGTTGTTAACATATCCGTCAGACTCAGCGTTGTGTCTCCTCGCGGGGCATTTTTGTTTGTCTTCATTACGCTGGAGGTTTGCTGCAGCTGAATATAAATATGCACTCGTTCAAGACCCTCTAAACCCTCTCCCTGCTCTTTGTCTTGCAGCAGCATGCCTAGCCCATGCTGGCGCACACGCCCTCCAAGTGAGCCTTTAGGGTTTGGGGTTTAGGGTTTAGGGTTTAGGGCTTAGGGGCTGTTTAGGACGGGAGGAGACTGAAGGTGCACAACTTAGCGTTTTATTTTGAAATGAATATCTACCTAAAGAAGTTAATATACATTTTTCTATGTAGTTGTAGGCTATGGGGTTTAGGGTTTAGGGTTTAGGGTTTAGGGTTTAGGGTTTACGGTGCAGGACCGACACGGCGCCGTGTTGAAAGGTTTTGCTGCTCTGTGCCACTACGCGGAGTTGCGGCAGCGAAGCGCATTGGGGTGTACAGACAGGAGGTTGTACTTAGCAGAGAGCATTTATAACCTGGCGAGGCAAGCTCTAAACCCTAAACCCTAAACCCTAAACCCTCATGCATTGCAGTCTAAGAAGATCTAGTGGTGCGCATCCGTGCGTGCATAAGGGCTGTATTTCTTTACGGTTTTCGGATTGATTAGGGTTGAGGGTTTAGGGTTTGCTTAGGGCTTAAGGTCTAGGGTTTAGGGTTTGCAGCATCCCCATCGGTATCTGTTTCTATTGCATGCCCCTCCATCATCTACTATTGTTTCTTTCTTTTTTTAGGGTTTAGGGTTTAGGGTTTAGGGTTACCTACGACTGCGTGAATATCTAAACATTAATAAACGCATGCAGCCCCAACAAAGAAACCCCTCTTTTCTTTGGGTGTAGGGTTTTAGGGTTTAGGGTTTAGGGTTTAGGGTTTTCTTCTTTCAGGGCCTATCACCACCTGCGGCTTTCTCGCCTATGCGTGCCCCTATACCTCCGTTGTCTTTCAATCTTAGGGGGGCCCCCAGGGCCCCCAGAGGCCCCTGGGGGCCCCCAGGGGCCCTCTATAGATGATGTTGAAAGCCCTAGCCTTCGGCAGGAGTGGCTGCAGCTGCGAATGGTAAGTTAGTATTATGTTTTAATATTTATATAAAAGATATTGTTATTAATAGAAGAGCTGCTGATTAGTTTAATTTTAATGTTTGTTTTGCTTGCTTTGTTTGCTTTGCTTTGTTTTTGTATGCATGCATGCATGCATGCATGCAGTGCGCAGCGTTCAATCTATACAGCCTCTGGGCTTCTCAAGGCGCTCTTCTTCAGGCACGTCGTCTCGCCAGTGTTTATCTTCTTTGGGATTAACAGCAAACGCTGTCGCAGCTGCTGCTGCAGCTAAATATATATATATATGTATATATAGTTATATATATATATATATAACATTTTGTATATATAATATGCAGCATGCATATTTAATACATGCTGCTGCAGCGCTGCTGCAGCTATATATATAT